CTCTCTCTCTCTCTCTCTCTCTCTCTCTCTCACACACACACACACACACAGCCTCCCTCCATCCTCTGTCTGTCTGCGCCGCGCGGACCAACAAGGAGCGCGTGATCACAGTTTATTACCTGACCAGGGTCAGGCTGCGAGGGTCTGCTCCAGCTGATCTCTGTTTCTGAGGGAAATTGGATCGATCCCTGAGCAGACGGCAAGACAGCTTCAAACCCTGCTGCTGTGATGGAAATTCAGTTTAAACACAAGTGAAGGTATTTGTGCATTTTCAGTTTTTATCTGACGTTTTATATCTAAAATAATTCATCTTTAATGTTTTTTGATCAAGTTTTTAAAAAATCAGTAGATTGTAGGTCAGGTTTAAGGTGATTTATGATCGATTTTCATGTTTATAAGTGTTCAAATGTGCTGATTTTAAAGTCGTAAAACTCCAYATGGAATTCACCAGTTTATAAAACCAGGAAATTTGACTCAGATCTTACTTTTATTCATATTTCTCTACAAAATTCCATGAATAAAATATTGGTAATTGAATTTGAAAAAAATCTAACAATGTATCTTTTTTTGTTACATATTTTAAAGATATTTGGACACATTTTTTTGCACATTAAAATAAAAGTATTCATCATTTGTCAATTAAATGTGTTACAATAAGCCATAGTTACACATGTTAAACAGTAATCCGACTGAAAGATGGTGCTCAGTGTGTTTATATGATTCATATGAAAATTTTCAAATTTTCAATATTAACCTTAATTAGATAAATTTATAACTGTTTTAAGGGATGTTTCTTTGCATATTTTGACATTCTGCACATTTTTTGATAGTTGTCCAAACGTTAGACAGTAACAACACATTTAGGTTTTATAAATTATTTTAGATATTCAAGTTTTTATTATTGTTTGATGGACACCATACTTTAAAGTGCTGTTTAACTTGATGGTTTTTATAAAGAAATTGATATCAAACTTTCAGCTCGTGATCATTCATTTACACTATTCCATTTAATATAATCTAAAAACGTGCACATAATTGTCAGTGGGAGAGGGTTTAATGAGTAAACAAGCAGCTAAACTTGATTATTTTGATGCCCTGACCTCGTCTCATCTGTCTCTTGTCCCTCCTTTTCTCCGGTGGTGGGATGTTCTGGATAGAAACCTGTAAATTGGATACTTTAGCCCTCTCTCCTCCTCAGTCCATGCCTGAGCATTAAGTATATTTTTCAGTCTGTGCACATCAGGCTCACACCACTTGGAAATGTCTTCCAAAAGCTGCAGTATCGCATTTTGAGCGAGAAATGGAGAAGATGCCAAATTGCTTGTTGAATAATAGATGTCCGTGGCGGGTGTGGAGCATGGCCTCAGGATTGAGATTTCCTGAAGTGACTCGGTGTGGGAGTGATTTTTTTTTTCACCCTCCTGCTTGTTAACCAATTGATTGGTACTGCCAATCACAGGAGAAACTCTGATTATTACAAACAGCTATGGATTTCAAACTTCTTGTTAGACTGATACTCTGTTACAGCTTTTCTTACAGATTTTCTTGTGGTTTTTTTTTTTTTTTGACAGATTGCACCTTGAATCTTTTTCCTGAGTGACTGAATACATTACTCTGTGGAGGATTTTCATTATTYATTTATAAAAGTACAAGGGGAAAAATGCATAACTCATTCTTGCCTTCTGAAAGRCTTCATCTGCTACTCAAAATCCTTTTAATTCTACACATAAAGTGAATTACACACCCACAAAAGCACATTTTATCTTTTGTGGCTGTTTATTGAGTATAAGCCCAAATGTCAGATTCATTTTACACGATGCAGTTTAGTTTCCTAAAGTCACTGACTCATCATTAGAAACAAAAGAGTCGTGTGAGGAGTTCTGGCGAAGAGTTGCGGAGCGTGGCGCTGCTTTTTTTGCCTTAAACTCAGCAGAAAGCTGATTAAACTGCAGCTGAACATCATTCCCTGTGGCTGAGGCTCAGTCCTGCATCTCACTGTAAGAAATGAAAGATTTATTGCAGGCCAAGCTCATCGCCTGAGAGGAGAGTGCATGTTTGAGAACTCGTCTGTCTTCCTTTATACTTTTTKTAAATCGGCCATGTTGTGGCCGAACAGTGCTGAGACTGTAATAGACCTGTCAAGAGTGTCCAGGGAGGAGCTGAACTGCAGAGGAAGAGTAACAAAGACATGAGGACGGAGAGATAAGAGTGCTGGATGCAGCTGAGGCGACAGCTGAGGTTAAAAAAGTGAACAATGTAGCAACGGAGTGAGATTTCAGTTTGTAAGAAACCCCATGACTTTATCCTGCAAGACCAAAGTCAACTAGATAAATCTGAAAAATAACATTTTGGGATAATTGTTCTGGATTTAAAGGGGACATATGCAGAATCTACCTTTTTAGCTGTTAAATACATTTTGTTGTGTACTTGAAGTCTCTTGGAGAAAATGTGAATTATGACTCTCCTGGGGTCTCATTTATGAAGAATTGCGTGGAAACCATACTAAAAGTGAACGTACGGCCAAAAGGCGGAAATGGCGTACGCCAAAAAAATTCAGATTTATAAAACCGTACGTACGCACGTTTCTGCGCATTTTCCCTTTATAAATCACAGCTGTGCCTCATAATTTGTGCACGAGGTCCTCCTCAGGTTCTACCC